AAGGCAGGCAGTAAATTCAACATTCAAATCTGAGACTTCATATTACCTAAAAGTAATCCAAAAGCAAGTTTCACACAACAATCAAAATTGAATTGATTTGTTTCAAGTAGAGAGAGAGAGAGAGAGAGAGAGAGAGAGAAGCTAATGTAAACGTTAAGATACAAACCATGAAAAGATAAGCAAGAATGATCCACCCACTGTTGGCCTGGTTAAAAATGAACTGAAGAACAAACCCAATAATGGAAAGCTGAAGAAAAGCTCTGAAAATGCAATAAACCATCTCTTTTTCCAAACCCAGATTTTGCATGAAGGATAAGATCACAGCTATGAGAACAACAGCAAGGGCAGCCACTGGCTTCACCATGCCTCTTAAAAACTCAAACAACCAATCCCAATCCATTGAAAGATGAAACTGAGAGTGAAAATCCTCCATGTTCGTGTTCATGATGAGAGCTTGCTTCACGGTTTTTGAGGTTGAAAAAGAAGAATCTACCTTCCCCTAATGAGAAAGTGTTGTATTTTGAAACATCTTGTGGAGATACTATTTCAGAGATTAGTAATTCTAAATAAGGACATATCTAATACGACAAGGTGATCGTAGTCGCCACAGTTAGCGAATGTCGACAGGTGGAATTTGAGTTCAAAACGACATCGTTAAATAGAAAGCTGTGACAGTTGTTACCCTGGAGCTGGGTGTATAGAATTATAGCATTAGGGTTTTTTTGGGGTAAACTATAGCTATGATCACTTAACTATTGTTCATTTTTATTTGATCATTAATCTTTTAATTTTATCAATCAAATTATTTAATTATCTTTAATCAAGTTACATGTTATTAACATTTAAAATAGGAGTTGATATGATAGTTAAAAATTGATGTAATTATACATCTAATCTTCATTACTTACACATTCTATCATTTTGGTCATGATTTCAAATTAATTATATAAATTTAATTCATCTATAAGATGATGACACATGTTATGTCATGTCTAACCATTTGATTGGATGAAAATTTTATTAAGTTAAATAAAATAAAATTATAAAAAATCTAATAACGTAGTGAGATATGTCATGGCACAAGTGTATTAATGACACATATCGTCATCTGATTGAAAGAACAAAATTTATTGAACTAATTCAAAATTAGTATCATTGATAGATTGTATAGATAATAAAAATAAAATATATAATTATATTAATTTTTAATTATCACGTCAGTATCTCCGTTAAACGACAAACGATAACATTTAAATAATTAAATAGTCTAATTGATAAAATTAAAAGATTAGTGATCGAAATAGAAAATAATAATAATTAAGTGACCATATATAAATTTACGTTTTTATCGCTTTTCTCAAATTAGTTAAAATCCCTCTTCCCCTGTTTCCTTTCATTAAACCCTAATTGAAATGGAAAAGAAATCCGAGGAGGGAGAATCAGAGCCTGAGGTATACGAAATCCGTGGAGAGCCGGCTGTTGTCATCAATGGCGTCCCTAAGAAAGACCCAAATTGCAGCAGCCTCGTTCCCTCTAATTCCATCAAGGAAGACGACGAGCCTCGGAAAGAGAAAGGGTGTGGCGAATGGTTGGAAGGGAGGGAGGTTCAGAAACTGTTTGGGGGAAAATATTATCACGGGAAAGTGATCCAATTCGACAAGGAAACTGGGTGGTATAGGGTGGAGTATGAAGATGAGGATTCCGAGGATCTTGATTGGGTGGAACTGGAAGAGGTGCTTTTGCCTGTAGACATTGGAGTTCCTTTGAAAGCAGTGGCATTGAAGGTGACGAACAACAATCAGATGGATGGGCAGCAGCTGGTGCTTCCAGAGTCTGAAATTCAAAAGGTCAAGCTCGTGGGAAAGAAGGGGAAGAAGACTAGAGCACGTTGATGAACAAGAAATTGGTAGGTGATTCTGAAACTGAGAATTCTTTACTCGTAAAAGAAAAGAATAGAAGCTTATTTCCCGGTTGTGTAAAATGTTTTTAGGCATTGATTTCCTAACTTTTTTCCCCGTGGGAAATGTAGTTTGAGAATCTAAAGTGTAGCAGAAATAGAATTTTAGCTTTGATTTCCCACATTTTTACAGTTTCATGGAATGCTGTCAGCCATGAATTAGATAGATATCCAGATGATTTCTTAACAATCAGAAGGAATGCACATTTGTTAATCCGATATGATTGTTGGATCCTGGTTTTGTCGATCTAAACAATATACAATTCAGGACAACGAATCATACTCGGAAAAGATTATTTAATTCACAGAATCATACTCAAAAAAGGTTTTTTAATTCACGAAATGTAAGATTATTTCGATTCAATAATGTGATATCGCATACGTTGCCAAAGTTTGATCGTATTACGTTCATAATGTGATATTCTATTTTTTTATGAATTTGATACTTTTCACAAGAGATGACAATTGTTAGATGTAACTAACCTTACCTAAAATATACCTCAGCAAGTAAACTACCTTTACCATATAATAACTTAGAGAGGGCTTAACGTAATGAGCACCTTGTTATGTAGCGCGTTGATCATCGCTAAGGATGAGAACGACTAGGGTTGAGTTGGATTTTTGGCAATCCAATTCCAACCCGACCCGAGAAGTATGTCCCTTCAATTATCCCTAGATATATAGAAAAAAAAATATTATAACCTTGAGTCGAGTCAAATTGAAGATATTTTACCCTAAACCCGAACTCATCTCCACACTCTTAACCTTTAACGCCACATCTTGAATCAATAGCTGCAAAGCACCTAGCTCATTCATTTGAAGTAAAAAAGAAGAGCAAAGGATCCAAAACACTCCATAGACCCAAAAGCTTGAAACCATTGCACTTGAATTTTTGTTGAATCAGGGTCTTAGTTTGAGTACGAACCCGACACACCAACATGACATCGACAGTAAAATCGATACAAAGCCAAGCTTTGAATTCTACTATTGATGTTGAGGTAGTGAATGATGCAAAAATGCAAGTTTTCCAAATACCTTTTAGAATATTGTTGATGGAAACAAGATATTTATGTTGGATGTTGACAGATCATCTCTTCTAATTTGGATAGAGAGTCGCAGTCGGTAATTGATTGACAATTAATCAGTATGAAGAGCTTTTGTTTCTATGAGGAAGAAGAAGAAGAAAATTGAAGGTGAAGATGAAGATGTTTTGTATCAGCTTTTTTTTAAGTCTTAAAAGAGAGATTTTATAGTGACCCTTTAAAAACATTAAAGAGGATATAAGCATTTGGGAATAATTTGGAAATTCCCAGAAAGAACTGGAAAAAAAAAAGCTAAGACATCAAATGGATTAATTATATGGTGTCATTCTACTGTGTATTAGCCCCTCATAATTCAATCTTGGCAACATACACTATTTTGGTATTAGCCAAATCGCCGCAAAGTTGGGTTCATTAACAGATTACAAACATTATTACCAGCCTAGAATATCTACACTTTCTTGAAGGACATGTCAATCATCTTTCCTTGAAAGAAATATTTAGTCCCTATTTCATCTTTATCATGTTATATGAACATAAACCAAAAAGAAGGAATGGATTACATATTAGTTGTAGTAGAGGTCGAGGCCTATGCCATGGTGTACCACTTTTTGATTCAAATCTCACCGGTCTGACCGTCAACCAACTTGTTGAGGTCACTTTCACCGATGGTGTCCTCCTCGTTGCACTTCACTGACCCGCACCTTCTTTCCCAGCCTGTCGTTCAACACCACCTCTATCATCTTCTTTTAGAAACCAACTATCATGACAAGGCCGATGGTAAGCCTTCGGTAACAGTCTTCACTTTGGTTCTAGTTTCCGTCTTCAGTCTTCGCCCCTGAGGTCATTGCACCCATAAACATCCACAATGTACCTACCACTACCAGATAAAAGATCATCTCCCTTCCCCAATAGTCACCGCAAGAAGCATCATATGCAGATTGCCTCCCATGTTGTACCTGATAAGCCGTCTCTTGTGACGAAAAATCAAGACAAAACTGACCCGTATTGAACAACAAAGCTGGTTCTTCACCAGCAATATCGTAATTGTTACTAAACCAAGAACGGTAATTATAAATGAAGGAGAAGCTGGTTCTTCACCAGAGCATCGTAAGCAAAACTTGTCCGATCACCAAATTACACCGACTAGCAGTTACAAAAAGGGATATATGGAATTTGCTTAATAAAAATTAGTTGATTTGTCAAAGCAAGAGGGGATGTAGCTCAAATGGTAGAGCACTCGCTTTGCATGCAAGAGGCACGGGATTCCCCCCCTCCTTCTATCTCCGTTCATATAGATATTTAATATTTGTTTTATTTGACTCACCATTCTTTATTGGATAAACTACGTATTTAGTATCTAAACTAATAATTTTGGTCTGTTTAGTATCTAAATTTTTAATTTTTTCAAAATCATTCTTAATGTTTAGTTTTCATTTCATTTTCATACCCCACCATTAAAAACATAATGTATTTAGTACATAAACTATTGGTTTTGGCCCGTTTTAGTACCTAAACTACCAGTTTTGAAAAAATTGAACATGTGTATTAAAATTAAACAAAATACTAAAATTTAGGTATGGTTTTGAAAAAATTAAAAGTTTAGGTATTAAAATGGATCAAAATTGATAATTTAGGTACTAAACATGTAATTTACCTTTTTTATTTTTCTTTTTGAGGGTTTTATTACACATTCAGCCGCTAGTTCACATTGAAGCTCCTTGCCTATACTCAAACTTTAGAGTATAAATTTAGTATAAGGCGGCCCATTTTGGTCAAATAAAATAAAACAGGATTAGCCTATCTAGTCTTTGCCTAAACACGCCCACCATTACTAAAACAAAACACTCATTCATCCGCCGCTATGAATAATAATCCCATTTTCAACCAACTGTAACCAACCCCATCTCCCCCTCTTTTCACTATATATATCTATATAATCTAAGCTTCCCTCAAACTTACAAACAAAACTCCCCCCAAAAAAGAAAAAACCTTTGAAGAAAATGAGCTCCGTTTGCATGTCCAGTTGTTTGACGGACGCTAGAGGTCCTCGGGTGCCGTATAGGGCTAATTATGTGAATCTCTACAAGTGGCCCGAGTCGGACGCCGAGTTCGTGAGGTCTAGGAGCTCACGCGCCACCGTGCATGGCGGATACGCCGGCGTCGTGGTGGACAGTGTGTGGTGTAGGCAGATGTATCTGAGGAGCTATAGGTTTACCAGGAGAGAAACTGTGGCTGAAAAGAGCTTGAAATGGTTTGGGAGAGTCAAAGAGAAGACGAGGAAGAAGAGGGTACAAATGAGACGTATTAGGAGAAGGAAGTGTTTGGTTTGGAGGAAAATGAAGGTGGCATTGTTTAGGTTTTTCAATAGACTGCTTGCTTGCTCTGCTGCTGTAGATGTTGCCGGTCAAAGGCCTGTTTTCTTCTGATTCTCTTTTACATCACAGTTTCGATCAAAGTGTGAATTAGCCTTAGCATATCATTCTAACTTTACGATATTGGTTTTGTTCTGTTTTTAGTAATGTAATGAATGCTTGAGAGGAAACCGATTCAGAGTTTAATTTATCTTATTTTATTACGTTGTAAAGGTCTATTGTCGAAACAAAAGTTCTTAATCTAATTTATTTTATTTGTAACATTAAAATTTAAAATTTTGATTTTATATATAAAAAAGCCAGCATTTTATCCCATTAAAAATATTTATTATTAATTTTCGGAGAGTAATTCTCAAAGTTAACGTCATTGTCGGTGCTTATGGCTGAAAGTGTTGGTATTTAATGTAATGTAAATGCATTCCATACACAATCGTCAATTCATATATATTGCCCTTTTGTCATTTATAGAATCTGTCTTCCTTTTTCAGTTGGGAATTTGAAAGCGAAAAGTTGTCTGTTAACAAAAGCTTCAGCTGAGTTGTGCTTTTTGACCAAAGTTAAAGTCTAATCGATTAAAGACGAGAAAAAATATCGTACTCTTTATCAAATAAATATAAAACATTAAAATTTATTTACTTTCCCAAAATATCAAAACTCAAAATTCGTTTGGAAAAATCAAGAAGCAAACTGAACTAAATGGACGATCCAAAAAATTCAGAAAACTAGATCGAGCCAATCTCACCCATACAATTGACAACATTTTTAATGAACTTTCGTTAGTTTTTTAAAATGGGGTAAAATACACAAACAATCCCGATTGTAGGATGTTATTTTGTTGAGTCTCTGAGTATTTAAAGTTCCAAAAATGACCTCTCGATTATAGAACATTGCTTTGTTAATTCACTTGACTATTAAAATTTACAAAATAATCATCTGTATAACCCCCTCAGACCGATGCGGGTAAACCGATCCGATCTGGAGTGTCACATTAGTGCCACCGGAGCGACCAACTGTAAAAATAACGAAAAATTTAAAACTTATCTTAAAACTTGTAAACTCATAAATTCATTTTTCACTATTAAAAAAATAAAATATATTTTCAGACTCGTATATAAAACAAAATACAATTACATGCCCCCTAATCACAAGTATTGTACTCTGCAAACAGCACCGGAAGAACTCCCCTACTGAAGTCGATAGCTGCACTGGTACAATTCTTTTAGCCTGAAAAGATGAGTAACAAAGTGAGCTTTGGAAAGCTCAGTAATACAGAACTACCAGATGATGCTGATGAACGTGCAGATACAGATAAACATATATTTCCTTATTGTTTCCGAACATTTACAGATTTTTATGCTGAGCACAGATCCTACTGATATTTCAGGTGGTAACAGACAATGAGCTTTCAGTTCAGAGAAGTATTTCAGATGACTGAGTTCAGGAGATCAGAATAGGTTATCTAGTGTGTTCCCAAAAAAACCATGTAACTTTTCAGATCTTTTTAAAACATATATATATACCCCCATCCCAACACAACATAATGTGTAGGCTCCCCAGAACCATACACTCAACCCACACAACTTGTAAGGCCCTGAGCACAAAGCCGAGGAACCTGCAGAAATACTTCCTTCAATAATACTCCCAATTAAAACATTTTTCCGTCAGTAAACGGAGATATCGGAAATCAAAACAGAATTCAGAACAGATATCATAACAGAATCCAGATCAGAAATCAGAACAGAATTCAGGTCATGTATCAGAACAGAATTCAAGTCGGAAATCAGATAAAATATTTATATGTTTAGGGAACACACCAGAGTTTACAGATATTATTCAGAGGTACTGGATAATCTTATCAAGCAGAAGAAACAAGGATCTTTCATATAATGATAGAATGTCGGAATTTAGAATCACTATTGGAAGAGTTCAACAACTGACAGAATCATCAATTATTCATAATATAATTTATTATAATCATCTTATTCAGATAATTTTCGGAAGCTCTACGAAATCTGAAGTGTATTCAGAATCTTTACAATCTATGACGATTAATCCGATTATCGAACAACTCCAGATGAATAGCTTCCATAACCAATACTTATCAACTTGTCAATTCATTAACCTTCCAGGTTATTCACTCTTTAGTACCAAATATTCTTATCCATGGATCATCTTTTGAGTCATCACTGAACAGATCTTAAGGAGACGAACAAATATTCTAATGGTCTTTATTTCATTTCCATGTTTCAACTCTACCAGGAAATGCTGACGTACATGATTTATGGTTCATAATTCATTGGGATGATACATCACATAAGTTCATCCGAGTTTCCAAACTTATTCCAATCTCTTACTTAATCCTCAGTCCTTGAGGTTACTTGGTTCATTTAGCAGTCAAGTCTATTCCAACTACTTCGAAATTTTCCAGAGTAATTCCGGACGTTTCTGAATTTCGGATACATATTGTACTTCATTTCAGTTCAGTTTGGTCTTCGTGGTTGATTTTTCTTACAAATATAAAATTCTTAGTACTGAATGCTATTTAGAGTTGCTGAGCTGAATATTTCCAAAATTATCATCGAACCAAACTTAAGAAGACAAACACACGTTCAAATAATATCTATGTCGTTCAGGTACTGACATATCATTAAGATTGATCGGCTCACTTAAGTTGTGTTCCATAACTTTTAAAGGTAGTCCAACACCTATGCTTATTTGGATTCCTTAATTAATCAAGGCATTTACATAGTTTAGGCCATAAGGTTATTTTGGTAATTTTGGTGTTCAGTTTTATTCCATTCATTTTAGAGCTCGAGGATATCCAATCATTCTTGAGCTTGGTGATATTCTTGGGTCATTTCTATTACAGGGGTATTCTGGTCATTTTACATATCCGATGTATTTCAATCATTTTCTTCCATCTTGTCTTATTATTTAATTCTGATTTATCATCTATTTCAGTCCCTTCGAACAATTTTGATAAAAGAATACCCCGATAAATTGTTCTTCAGATATTTACTCGTAACTCGAATATTTTCGGGTCAAGTGTCTTCTCAGATTTTTACCAACGGAATTTCAAGAGTTTTCTATACTAAGTCAGGATCTTAACAATCAAATTCGTACTTAATCGAGTTAAGTACAAATCCTCAAAGTATTTTCTCATTTAGGGTCAACTCGGACTATTTTACCTCTCAAGGGCATTTTCGTAATTTCTTAACCAGATAATTTCGATATTAGCTCTTAACGAAAATAATTATAATTTAAAGATCCTATGGTCAATTGCTTTCCTGAACATTCTTTGATCTTGAAATTATTCCTTAACAAACTTCTAGCATCCTGCGCAAACCCTTGTTGGCGTTAAAAAACAATTATCCAAATTTTCTAAACAAAACTATCATTTCTTATGGACATCTGTAATTATATCGGATCAATATGTTTTTTTAGAATTATTAACCAACTTCCAGGGACAATTCTTGTCATCCTACAATATAAGGGTATTTTCGTAATTTTACCTAATCAAAATATTCTCATAATTTATCCTTCAAGTACCTTTAATGAGATAAATTATAATCTACATATCCATGGTTGATTCTTTTATCACTTAATTCCAGAACTTGAAATTTAATTCCAACTGTTCTCCAATTCTTATAATAGTCATCTGAGCCATATTCAGATACCGAGTTTTTACTATATTCGAATCAAGTGTAGAACTTCATTAATTTACACATATTAGACCAAACATTTCCATTCACGCATTTACCAATATTCACATGTTCCATAAAGCATAAAGAGGTAGTAAAGTATTAACTCGATTTTTGTGTCATACTGACCGACCATTTAAACTTCATTCCATCGCCCTCAACTTGAATTCAACATCCAATAATTCCTCGGATACATATAAATAGAATTTACATCAGAAACAGGCTTAATTGTGAAAAATGGATCAAATCGGAAGGTAAAATGCTGAAAAATAACTTATCGAGTTCGAATTTGGTAAAATAAACTTAAGACCATCAAATATACGAACTCTAATCCAAAATAATTTCTTTCTCCATAAAAATAACTCATTATAGTTTAAATAGTAATTTAATGACCCAGTTGCTAAAACTAAAATCCTGTGAAGCCACTATACTATTTAATTACTAAAATCAGGGGCTAAATCAAATTAATTTAAACTATTTAACTAAAGATAAAATTATGTAAACACTTATGAACAAGGTTAAGTTCTCACCAATATCAAAGGACTGAGCTTGAGATTTTCCTTTTTTTTTCTAGCTTCCTCCCACGTAATGTACTATTGAGTTATAAAATCATTTTTAATCCTTTCTTTCCCAGTTCTTTCCTTTCCTTATTTATTTCTTTCGTCTTAAATCCTTTCTCTGTAAACCCCGACATGCCCATTACAACTAGGCCTTTTTCGCGAACAATTCGTCTGGATATTTCATTTAAAATTTCAGCAACTTGAGAATCGTCGAGCATTGAAGATTTCCTCAGCTGGATTAAGCTAGCAACCAAATCTACACTCCATGGTTTCTCATTCAACGAATACCAAATGTACTTGCGCAGAATCTCCTCCACACTAAAGCCTGTCTTTTGCGCTAATTCCTTTTATGTTGATTGATCTACGACATCACTTCCAGAAAGTATATCACCTTGGCCACCACAACGCCGTGGAGATCCGTAAATGCTTACGGATTGGACTATTTCACCATCACTAATGAGGTCAGACTTTCATTTCCTTAAGATAGTTACACCACCGATTTGTTTGGAGAGAGATAGTAGTTCCCCATGAGTGTTTTGATCGTTTACATCGCCACCTAGAACTTTCTGAACCAGGCGCTTGTATTCGTACACATTTGGAGTCAAGACAGTAAAGCTATAGCCACTAACAAGCTCGATATTGTTTGTCACAAGGAAGAGTCGTCCGCATCTACAACCATTGGAACATTTGATCCTTGCCACCTTACGTACAAAAAACATGCGATAAATCCGCGCCGATTTTCAAAGCTGAAATAGCAACGAAGTAAGGTGCACCGGTATATTCACGACACCCT